CAGTGCAGGCTGCAAACCCCAGGTATGTGTAGTGCTGCTGTTGCTCCTGGGGCATGAAACCAAACACCCCTAAAATGTGGAGCATGTGGAGGCATATTTTCTGGAAACCATAGACAAACATAAGCCATGAGAACTAGAGTGTGTGACCCTCGACACCAAAAACAAACTTCTCTAACACGACACCACTCGCAAAAATGTATTTGTCCTGATTGCACCTGTACAGGACTCCCATCTGTCCGTGCCTCCTGGCATACATGGTTGAGAGTTCTGAATACTCTGTGTGCATATGCAGCACAAGTCAATCACTGCCAATAAGAGTAAGAATCCATCAGACAAAAACGGACATGGAACCTGTAATTTATACACAAGGGAGCTCTTCGTTCCATCGCTTCTGGCTCAATGTGTGGCTTTCCAAAGCATGCATTAATGTCATTTCTAATTTCATTAACGTTATCCTGCCTGATAAAGGTTCTACATTTCAATGCACTGCAAAACATCAACTTACAATACCTAATGAGAACCTAACTTAGCATAAAAACCATTACTTTATTCTTAAGCCAGAGCTGAAAGAATTGTGTTCAAGACACACCAACCAGACTCATTTGATTCGACCTTGTCAACATAAACATAGATGCTCAACCTTTAACACTACAGCTGTTTAAAGATCCAGGTATTCTGCATCTGCATGGTGAAGTTGGGCACACAGATGCACACAGGCAGTGGAGGGGGAGTGCTGGCAGAGGCTGAATGCGTTTGCCCGCTCCAGGGGAGAAGCAAAGAAAGGGAGCAGAAGAGCTGAAACAAACACATGCTGGCCTCTATTAGTTGAGCTGCAGAGTGGGATGGAGGGGTGAGGAAATGTATTCATTCCTTCTGTGCCCCCATCCATTCCGATCCCTCCAACCCTCCCACCACATCATCTCTATTCTGGAAAGGCGGCAGATGAAAGGGACAACCCCCCAGTGGTAGCTCTCTTCCCTCCAAACTTATGCTGACGCATTCTGACGGTTACTTATTAGTACGTGATACAGGCAGGGGCCTTCCTCTTTCAAATCTAGAACAGATTGCTTCTCCCTGGGGAGAGAATTATGGGACAAGAGAGATGACAAAGCAGGGACAGTGCAGCGCTCTAGGAGGTGGTGGACAGAGGGGTAAGCTTCTGGATAGTGCACGTGTGCATGCATTCATGTTTTGGGTGACTACCAAGAATGTGTGTGCAAGGTACAGTCTCTGATCTTGACAAGATCACAATATCTTTACGGTCTACTTAAAAGTCTAACGTATGTATCATTTTATCACATGTTCACACCTCCCCTTCTCTTCTCCTTCACTCCTCTTCCACTCCCCCATATCTGTGACTCTCTTGACCCAGCTTTCTCCTTCTCTCTCATAAGTCCATGGTGCTACAGTAGGTGCACCAACAAAAGCTGTTCCGTATATTACAGAAAAGCACTAAAATCTTCTTTCTGATACTCATGATTTATTATAAGGACCTGGTCAGGGGTCAGTCCTGCTTGTTGTGTACTGAGAACTCTGCAAAACCATTTCTTCAGAAACTTTTTGGCAGCTGGTCTTCAGGGCAGTGTCAAGACAAAGCCAAAGGAAAATAACAGCAGACAAAATAAGGTAACGCATGAAATATGCATCTGGTTTGCAGCTCTCTTTTAAAGTGCAAGTATTAGATCAAAGCCTGGAGCATCAAGCATGTCTACCAGTGATGGGCTGGATGTGATGTTTGCATGCCCTGACCTTTACTGCTTAAATAGGAGGCTGAGCCAACATTTAGGGGTGCTACTTAGGGGTGCTGCTATTTAGGGGCATATTCCCTGAAGATTTCTCATTTAAGGCTTGAATGTGTGTCATAGACAGTAGATATTATGTGTGCAAAAAACTCCAGAGCAATGTTTGATCAGAAAGCACAATAAAGGAACTGAGTGGCTGACTCATCTAAAGATAGCCTTTCTAGCTCCCACATAAATAAAAGCATGCCAATTGCTCACTGTTCAAATACAGGTCATTTGCTGTGATAGGGCTGTGCAATCTACTCCAGCACTACTATGCAATCAGGCTAGTATGAGGAACACTATCATTAAGCTGAAGAGATAAACAAGTGCCAGAGGAGAAGGTGGTTTAGGAAACATTTTCTTAACATGCTCACACACAGGAGAACACACACAAACTATAGTGAATTTTTTCAATATTTTCCAGAGAAAAATGAACTGAACTAGTCTTACAAAGCAAAGTTGGTTAATATATCTGTAAGAGTATTTATTAAATCATCCAGCAGTTTAAGTGATTAGGTGCAATTTGAACAAAAATGTTCACTGCAGTACATGTGATGTATAGAGCACTGACAAATGAAAGTAAACCCCCAACAAAGTGTCTTAGTAAGGTGTTGGGCAGCACATGGCACCAGAATAACTTTAGTGCACTTTGGCACCGATTCTATAACTCTGACCTCTAACTGAAGGAATGAATACCGTTGTTCCAAAAGATATTCCCTCAATTGGCGTTTGATGATGGTGTAGTGATGCTGCTGAACACATAGGTCCAGCATCTCCTAGAGGTCTTCAGCTGGGTTGAGATCTGGTGATTGCAAAGGCCAAAGTGTGTGATTCATATCACTTTCAGAGACCACTCACATATTCAGGTTTTTCCCTTCATTTGTCACCTGTTTGTATGATTCTTCTGTTCCAGATCCGGTTTTTCTTCATTCCAACAATAGCTCAACTTCTTTTATATTGACCACAAGTATTTTCCCATTGTTACAGGACAATGGAAAATCACCTGCAAGGTTTTCAACCGACTGAACTTTATGATGGTAGAATTCACAAATTGACTTGACAATGACTGAAGTCACTGTCAAGTCAAACAGAGAGAGGAAAGTACAGCATGATACTAGCCTGACTCAGCTGAAATAAAATTACAGTATGGTGATGGGAAGCGAGGAGAGGACAGAGACTTGTGAAAACTCATCTAGCAGGCTTTATTTTTACTTGAAGTTAACGAGCAAGGAAAAATGGAAATGCTATAATGCCTGCCGAGGACTGCGCTGAAACTCGCCTGTTCTGCTATACTAATGAAATTCAGCACATTCCGTACATATGGTGCCATGAACACCGATGACCTTGCTCATACATGAAGTCACAAAAAGATGTCTGGAAAGTCTCTGGTTCACTGTGGTCGGCATTTAAAGCACACACACACACACACACACACACACACACACACTTAGTTTTGGTCCCATTTGTACAAATAATAGAAACCACAGATACTACACCTCTTCCTCTTCCTTTACACTCAGTCACTCACCATATTTACCAGAAGAATGAATAAGTTCTCTTATTGCATTCACACATAGACACAGACACACAAAATGATGGCAGCACAGCTAGTAGAACAATGTTTGTCTTGGCAACAGTCTTAACCCCCCCAAAAAAACCTAATCATTTGCAGCAGCTGCTCACGCTCTTGTTTGTAGCACAGTGAAGCTAAACCGTTTAAAGGATCTCCCTTTTCTTCTGAGATGACTGTCAAAGCTGCATTTTAAAACACCCAAAAGCTGCTTTGCTCCGAGTAAGGTAATCAGAAATTCTATCTAAACATTGCCAGGGGAAACTGAAGTCAAGGAAGGATTACAGAGTCTCATCAATACTGAAAGTTTGAAGTTAAGATTCTCCACCTTTCTCAGTGCTCTTCAGTCATTAACAAATACTGACACTGCCAAAAGGGATACATTCTCCAATTTTTAACCAAAGGACAGAGGAGTAACTTACTCCAGTATTAAAATAGAGGATAATCACACTCTGAAGCCCTCAAGCCTACCTGCAGAAAAGTTTAAATAGTAAGAGAAGTAAAAATATGCTCAGATGCAGCCTTTACATTTTTGGACACTGATGCAAAAATCCGTAAGCGACAACATCACTAAGTATATTTTAAAACTGTAATAGTAGAGTCAGCTTACTTTCCAAGTTCTTCAATTGTTTATACAACCAAATTTTATATGAACATCTCAACTGGCCTCCAAGCAGCAGCCACCGCACTCTATTGGTGGTTGTATTAAAAACTTTAGGTAACAAGCAGGAAGAGTAGCTATGGCTGGTTTACCAAGGTAAACAAGTTCACACAACAGCAGCTTTCACCCATACAACCTCCGCTCTTCTCAGCCCGGCTGCTGTCCACACAGCCTTTCACGGCTGCATAATCTACATTTACAAACACTTCACACACACACAAACAGTGTCTGGAGGTAGACATTAATACTACACATCATATTCCCACTCCATGGGCAAGTTTCCCTTCTCACTTGACTTGAGTTAAATGGGTAAAGTGAGGCAAGCGTTCCATGGGTTTCAGCGTAGCTCTGACAGTTTGCCTGGAGAGCTCTCTTCAGTAGCTCATCCATGTAGTATATACCGACACAAAGATGATCAGGGCCTGCGTGGGGGGGGGGGGCACTTGTGGGCTGGAGTGAGGCAATTTGAAATGTCACATTAGGTTTTGCAAATGTGGAAAAAAAATGTGAATTAATTTCCTATTATAAGAAGGTCTATGGATAAAAAAGAAAAAGATACATTCATGATATACAAAATATTATACAAACTGACTTTTTTTCATCTGTACTTTAACTCAGGATGGCCCCCGGTGCACTTTAAATGATGGCAAGTTTTTTAAAGACACCTTCACTATAAAATAATAAGCAGATGGGTGCTTATGGCTTGGTACAAACATGACATTAATGGAATGTGCTACCATCTAATCCTTTGAGACAGAGGCATTTGCGACAGAGGGAACTCTTGTCATTCAAAGGGGAAAACTATGAGAACACACACACACACAGAGCTGCTGTACAGGAAACACAAATTCACTGCAGAAACAGCACAGCTCACTAGCACTACAGTCCCTACTGCATAAACTAACAGGCATACACAAACCAAAAGCAGTAGGAAAAAGGTGGAAAACAGACAAAAAAAAAGTGATAAAGTTGTTAAATTCCTTACCTGAAAGGCAGGAGAGCAGAGTGCTGGCCAAGTGAGACAGGCAAGGCTAGGACTCTTCTCTGACTTTTCTCCTGGCGCTTCCTCACCAGGTCTCCCTCCGCACATAGAGGGGTTTGGGGGTTGAAGAGGTGGGGAGGGACCACACAGCTCCTGGAAGACAACCTCTCTCCTCTAATCCTCTCTCCGATGCAATGACACTCTCTAACCTCGACCATCTGTTGAAACGCGTCCCAGAGCAGTCAGCACTGCGCTGTGTCAAGAACCCTACTCCTCCTGTCCAATCACAGAGCAGCTGCTGGGTGGCTCCTCGCTGCCAGGAGGCAGGGACAAGGGACAGCTCAGTGCAAAGACAGATACACACACACATGCAGTCACACACGCACACAGTCTCCACGAGATGGAAGCAAGAAAACCCCCAGTCATCGTAACCTGAGAGGCAGAGCAGGAGGAAGGGACACAGAGAGTGAAAGGAGTGGAAACAGGAGGAACGGGAGGGGAGAAAGAGAGCGCAAGAGAAGAGAGAGACAGGGCATGTTTAAGAGGCAAAAAGCAGCAACAGAAAAGAAACAGATGGAGATTAACACTTCATATTACCTTGCTGGTAGTGCAACTTAATTCTCACACAAATGTTAGGGTGAAGACCTAAACACATACACGAACCATGAATTTCTGACTCTTTGTCCCATTCCTCCTCCTGCAGCCTCAGTGTATGCAGCCTAAAGAATGAAACAATTAAAAAAAACAAACAACAACTTTGTATTGGCTTTGCGGTGGGAGCGCCGCTGGCAATAAACTGTTTACATCTGCAGGCACAGAAGCACAGGCAGCAGTCCTCACGCCTTAGTGTGATAAATCCTTACAATCTCATGGCTGCATTCCAGCCCTTCACCACCTATTGCCTTAAGTGAAAAAGGAGGGCAGGGGGGAAGACACTAAAATTACAAAGCTAAGAAAAGAGTAACATAGAAGAAGAAAGAAAAGGAAGTAGAGATAAGAGGGGGCATGGGTTCATGGCTAGAAGGCAGCAGAGTAATAGAGCAAACATTTACAATTACTATCAACCATTTTAACACTATAAAACAAAGTGAACATTATGTGACAAAGGCTGACAAATTAATCATTTTGTTGAACCACTGTCCTATTCTGTGATACATTAAAAAGGATTACAAGATCCTGATGATATTCAGGAGCAACTTCAAAAGTAAACCCTAATGAGATAATGTCCATCTGTTAGGCAAGAGCATTACAATGAGTTAATCAGAGGTGTGAAACACCACAGGAAGGCTTCTAAGTGATTCATTTACATTCTATAAGTCACATGAATATCCTGGCCTCTATTTCAAGTTGTCTTTTGATAAACACCTTTAAGATCTAACAGGCTTCCAGGCCATTATTAATGAATATTCTTATTGTCCCTTTTTGAACTATCATAATTAACAGTATTTGTGCATACAGTGAAAACCTATTTATGGATATTTATTTAGGATCACTTGTTTTGATATTGAGGTATCTTTAATACTACTATCCTAAAATGTAAAATGATAGAATGACCTGATGTTTGCTGCTGTAATTCGGGTCAGAACTGTGTATATGATGTTTCATTTTATATTATATAGCACCAAACACAGCAGACAGACAATTACTTTTTCAGTTACATTCCCTTCAGATTAAATATGAAAATATTGGACTGAACTAAACAAAACCCTATTTTCACCAGGGACACATGAAAATTTACCCATCTTGGACTGATGTTTGAAACAGGGGCAGCGGTGAGGGAGAGAAAGGATCTTCGGGGGAAAGAGCTCAAATTAGATTAACCAAATTCACAAAGACTGTCCCTAGCCCCTCCTGCATGGCCACAACACACACCTCCAACCCCAGCCCCCATTCTCATGGCCGAGAGGTTTACAAAGGGGCCTTCAGGGAGGCCAGGGGCGACCAAATCCCTGTGCTTTTCATTGGATTAAGATGGCTGCCCTACTGTGGGGAGAGAGGCCGTTTTTCCAGGAGCTGAGCACATCTGTAAACATCATAACTCCATGCAGACAAAAAGGGCATCTATTCTGTGAGGAAAACATCTACAATCATATCTTAGCAGGGGCCCATGTGGAAGCCATTTCTTACTGGTAGAATTTGGCCATCTACCTTATGTCAACACATACACTGTAATCCATTTTGCATGCCCATCATTAATCTTGATTTTCCATTTTCCCCTTTGTTGATGGACACAAGAGCAAAGGTCGTGTGAGGTCTTCAAAATGGCCTCACCTTAGGAATGACTGGCAGGCTGCAGTGAACACCAGTAATTATCAAGCCTATCATGATAAATATCCAACACAGAAATTTGCTTCAAGATGGCAAGTTTCTCTTATTCTATTGTTTGACCTTGTCCCCCTTAGCCAGGATTCCCCTCCTCCAACTCCTTCCAGCTTTCCAGACATCAGTTGGGCCTGCAGCTGCTGGCAGAGGCCAGCGGTGGGTGGCTACTTGGTTCACTAGCCCCTTTCTCTATGTCTAAATGAGACACTTAGGGGTGTCATAGCTATGATCCTGTCACTGTGCACAGCACTAGAGCTGGGGGGGGAATACATTCCTTAAGGCGGAGAAAGACAAACCCATGGTTGACAGCATCTTGTGCTATACTACATTTTAAATGCTAAAAACATACAGTCATGCTAAGCTCCGACAGTAATGACAGAGCTGTAGAGTCAGATGACTGGAAATGAATGTGTTAGCTGCTCCCTTTCAGTAAGGATGTAATAAACTGCTCACCTCAACCACCACCTATCCAACTCTGGGAACAGGGCTAAATGGCCACATAGGACAGGTGTAACCAAGTGTATAAGAATAAAACAAGGTCCTCCAAGGTGGTGTGGTTTCTAGGTAGTGCATTCACCTCTGGTTCCTAGGTCCCGTTACACCTCAGGGGACTGAATCAGTGTCAGCTCAAGTTCATACAAGAGAGGCACAGCCGAGACATGAAAATGACAAGGATGCAGCACAAAAAAAAAAAACAGAAACACACACAACTCGGTCATGAATGTACAGGGCAAGGACTAAAAATGAAAGGCAGGACAGAGGGATAGAGGAGTGGCAAGGTTAAAGTCAAAATAGGAGGAGGACATGGGGAATGGAGGAGGATGGGCCTCTGTGGTTCAGTGACAGCTGAACACACAGCACATGCACAGGGAGGGAGCTCTTCTCATGCCATCCTCCTGCTGTGCCATACACGTAGCATGTACTACACACATATGTGATTTAACACGCATAAAACCAAAAGTACATAGCAACATTCATTCCAGTCAAGTAATAAACAGAGTCAAATGACAAACCCCTATAAAATGACACAAAATAAGAGCTATTATATCCACAATTAACCAATACAATGATTACCAAATATCATGTTACACCTTTTTACCTTTATTGAATAAGCATTAGGGTTACATATTGTAACATATGTATTACATATTTGGAGTAAGTCAATTACCAAGGAGATTGTCATTTTATTTACTTTTCAAATTATGAATTCAGGATCAAACCACTGCATCACAAAAAGTTATGCTTGGTAACAACTACCAAAAACATATAAATTCTGTTCACAGTTCACTTTTTTGTAAACAACTGAACTGAGTTATTGCCCTTATCTTGGTATTCTCTATGACAGAGTAATTTATGTGGAGCATTCAATTTACAAAATATAAGACTAGTCAGTGCCACTCTACAATACACTAAGGCTGCCACCTCTTCTTGCAGGGCTACTGCCAAGCAGCTAACGGGTAGTGCTGCAGACAACTGAAGTACACTAACACATAATGAACTCATTAACAGTAACCTGAGATCAAGCATTAGAAGTTCTTTCAAAATGAAATGCCAGGTACCAGATGTGCTATCACCTGATGACAGTCAACCATGGCCAAAAGCCATCAGTGTAAAGAATGTTACAGAAAGTGTTGCTTCCACTTGAAAACAATGTTATAACGCAATCTCATTATAAGGTCTTTATTAAAGTATTGCCCGTATTAAACGCATTAGTTCATGGCAGTTAGTATTTATCAGTTTCTCATCATTTAAAGAAGTCAGCTGTGCATGTATGTGATCTCACAGTATGGCAAGTTACATTTTGCCACGCTAAATGTAACTTCAACAGAGAGCAGAGATCACGTGCATGCACAGTTAACTTTTTCTTACTTCAGAGACCATTAAAAAAGTGATGACTGTTTTCTCTTTTTGGAGAAAAAGACAGGCCTCCCATTTTTTTGTGAGAAAGAGCAGCAGCACGGTTCACAACATGAAGTCTATGGCACAGACCAATAAGCTAAACCAGGGTCTGGAGTCTCATCCGTTTCATGGAGTACACAAGATTCATTGCAGGTTTTAGTCTGTGTATGGGATACTTTGAAAAAAATAATCCTTTAAAGCAGAAGTGACTATTCTAAAGCAATTGTTTCCCTTACTGCCTTTATGTTGCAATCACATGCACATTCTTCCAGCTTCCCGAATCTACAGTTGATTTAATTTAACTGAGCATTGTTGATATGATTAAATTATGTTTAGATTTCCATACAAAATAAAATGCAAGATCCCAGTTGGTTCAAATACTTACTAATTTTCACATATTCACAAGGAATGTAGCCTGTAAATTATTATTTGCATGAAAAGGGTAAATGTCTTTAGGTTTCTAAGTAACAACTGTCAGCACAAACTCTTATAGTAGCTACCAGGGGCACTTAAACACAGACAGCCTTACTGATCAAGCCTTTACATTGTTTGGCAAATACAAAAGGTCCATGGCTCTAATTCAACACCATTACGATTACAGTAATAATACAGCCTTATCCATTTGGTTTTCCAAATGTATGGTATATTTTATGTTCAGAGAAATGATAAAGTCAAATGATGGCACATAGAATAGATCCTGTAAAAATCTGATAGACCACCCATGAATCCCGATTAGCAAGATTAAATTCTTCCAAGAACTAGGGAACAGATAATGAGAGAAACCAATCCCATCATTCCCCTGATCTGGTGAATGACAAGATGACAAACCATTTGGGATAGCCTTAAGGTTCAGTCAACAGGTAAATAGCTGGGGGCCTTTTTAAGCCATGATGATGCAAAGTAAATGCAGTGGGGAAATACCGATTGCTGTTCCTAGGTCCAAGTAAGAAGATGAAAGACATTCTGCCAGCTAAGACAATGGTAGTTATGTAGCCCAAGCCTGAGGCAGCTTTAAGACTGCAATACATCTGAATTCCAGTTACTGCCTTTGGTCAGTTTTGTCAGACATGAACGGTGCAAGTGAGCAAAACATTAGAAAGGGATGACAAACCCCAGTAATATATTAAAGTCTCACAACACCACTTATTTGTGGCAGGCAGTACTCTTGATATTTCTCATGCAGAGGAACTGGCACAAAAAAATGGGTTGCCTTGATACCAAGACATCTTGATGAACAGTTCAACAATACAGAGATCCTTTATCACATGGGCCAAAATATGACCCAAAGGAGGAGTCACATCGCCTTCACTCAGTAAGAAAGGTCAGATACAAAATTCAACAACTGAAAATCTTTCAAACCTGTGTATTTTAGACAATTTCAGTTTACCCCAGTGCCTGCCTTGTAACTGTCACAACACATATCAAGTGGTGCTGCCACCATTGTTTTCCTTCTTTCTGGACGGATGTCATCATTTGGAATGCGACTAGTACTCAAAAA